TGATACACAGACCTCAAGAAGTATCAGTTTCTTATTTTAATAGACTATGTAGTAAAGTTCATGAACATTAAACATGATGACATTAAAAATTACTGAATCATTACCAAATCTACATCTCTGACAATGTTTTAAAGGAACATACACCTAAATATATTTATATAATTAAATACCTTCATTAGGAATATCAATTCATAACACTTTCTCAGAAATGGAACATACACCCTCACTCATAGATGGATATACATTCAAAGACTGAGTACATTTTTTTTTGTTTTAATCTCTTCCCAAGGCTAATTTCAAATTAAAGATTATCCAGGAATATATAGATGTATACAAAGCTTCAACCAATTTGATAATACTCTTTCTCCTCCTTCATCTTTACAAAATCAATTGCCTTTAAGCTTTTGAATGGCAGCTATTTTTGACTGCATTCCTTTTTCTTACTCTGACTTAGACAAATGGTGTTTAGATTTTTTTTTTTTTTTTTTTGCAACTATTTGCAATGCCTCTACTTCTATAAATACCAAACTCAGGAAATATTAAGGGAAAGAATGCACCTAAATAATCTATTTCTAAGTGTTCTGAAGAGTGTAAATGAATAGATTGGGTGTGGCAATTTCACTGATAGATTTATTATCTTTCCTAACTGTGACTATCTTAATGTAACAAAATATGTATATGTTTATACAAATGAACTTTGCAACAAGTTCACACAAATGACTATAATTTTCTAAAAAGAACATACTGTGTTACAAGTTTGAAGTCAATCCAGGAGTTAAGGAACTAAGGTAATGAGACAAGGTCACTTTCACTTGTAAAAATCTGTCACAGATATCCAGGAGGTTTACTTTCTGTGTTCTGCATATAAGGTACAGGTACTGTGTCAGTTAGGATTAGGTGTGGGTTACAAAAAAAACAAAACAAAACAAAACCGGTAAGGATTTAAACAAGATTCCAATTTACTTAATCTCTTACATTAAAGGAATCCAGAATTCTGCAGCTTGTGGTTGTATGGGTCTTCCATATGTTCTGGCTTAACATTTTTTAAGTCTCTATTCTGCCTTCTTCATCCAGTGTCTTCTACTGTATTGCTAGTAGAATGCATCATTATATCACGTAACAGGAAGGAAAAAGAGTTTTCCTTCTCTTTCAAGGAAATAAGGGGTGGGGGGCAACATTAACTGCCATTAATGCCACATCACATTTCTGTTTACATTATACTAGAAGAACTTAGTCTCATGGCCAATCTTAGTTGCAAAGCAATGGGAGAGCTGAATAGTAACTTTTATCTCAAATAATAATGTGACCAGTGACCAGCTAATAATAGGGAATTTATTACTACCAAGAAAGGAAATAATTGGTATATGGGGAGTTAATTAAAATCTGCCCTACAAATGTTAAATGAAATTATCGGGAGGAGCCAGAGAAGGAAGGAATTTATGTATAAGTGTTTTCTTGTTGAGAAACTTTTACACTGTGAGGAATTTCTTCAAGAAGTATCTTTATAACTACAAATTTTATTTATCTGCTGAAAAAGTACCTTATCTCAGTTAAAAACAAAACAAACAAACAACAACAAAATCTCTGGCAATAGTCTCAAATCTGTTTTTCTTGGAAGTAGAAATGTATGTTGTCACCAACAGCTTGACATATTGCTGATATTATCTGAAATAAAAAGTTTGTTATAACTTTATATAAATATCCAGATGTGAAAACCTAAGCAGTATATTATCTAGGATAATAAATGCTAAAACTACCGTGTTTCCTGATTTACATTTATCTCTGAGATAAACCACTCCAAGTCCTTTTACAAAGCAGGAATATGAGGAAGTGACTTGTAATCCTATACAAAATCCTTGGTTTCCTGAAACCAATAACAACTCTTTTATTCCATGTTGAATTTTTAATGGATGATCCATAGCCTACCTTACTCAAAATCAATCTCTCTCTCTCTCTCTCTCTCTCTCATGATATATATTTTACTTCTGGAAAATATCATGAAAAAGAACAGAGATACTCCTTTCTGATATTTAATTAAAATAATATTGAGCACATAAAGAATATGACAAGCTATATGTTAGATGACAAATTCTAAATCAACTTCAGAAAGCACAAGAAATATAGAATAACACAACAAGACTTGTAAACCATGTTTTCTTTTATAGAATAAAAATCAGGCCAAATTATGTTTATTTGCTGGTAACAGAGACCTATACTAGCAATTGATTAAAATCTTGGTGTTTGTTTGTCTCCCCAGTAAAATGATGACATGGTATGGTGAGAGCATAGCTGGTATTGTGGTTCTATAATCTCAACAGGGTCCCCAAATACTTCTCCCTCTCTGCCTCTCTACCTTTCTGCAGTTGCCTCATGTTTACATTATTAGATTAAACTCCAGTCCATCAAGTTTTCATTTTAAGTCAAGGTAGATAAAAGGAGCACAAACAAAAAAGAAATCTCTAGTTGAATCAACCCAAATTAAGAAGCTTTGCTGGAAACCCCATTGAATGGCTACTGATCACATAATGTGAGCCAAAGCATTAGTCACATGCCTATCCCTGTCTCTGAGGGGGACTTATAAATGTACCTTTTTAGGAGGGTATGTATATCACTTCTCATGAAAGCAATGTCTTGTCATTAAATGTGATGAGAAGACTGGACACTGAGGTTATAAGTAGGAGTTTCAACCACAGTGTCATCTCACAAAAACTTCCAAAACATTTGTGGCATTTACAGCATTCCAGGATTTGCCAGGCTACCTCTGCAATCCTCATTTGTTGTCTGGAAATGGCCATTCTCTTGGCCTTCAATGGGGATTTAAACCCACCTCAACATTTGCAACTTTGTGTAGAGAGCAGTGAAACAGCACTAGAAAGAAAGCACCTATCAAGAAACTGGAAGAATATTCTCCTGCAGAATTTCTCTCCTACCCTTTCTAGAGAAACAAATACTGAAACCAATTATCTCCTTTTGAGTAAAGAATAGAAAAGAACATTGTTTTTATAGAAAAGAAAATTGCTTAACACCTGGGAATACATTTCTCATTTTCTTAAGACATGCCAGAGTCAACTGATCTTTTCTCTTCAGTCCCATATTTTAATCCAAAACCAGCACCATCTCTAGTGATTTGATTTGCCTACTATTAGTGACAAGCAGAATTTATTTTAAACAACAATTTTTAGTATATTTGTGGCTAATTTTTTTACTGAAATCACACTGTAATAAATATGATATTCAATGTTTCCATGGAAACAGAGTTTTTAAAATGAAACCTAATTATGATCATGGTGTACTAACAAGACCACTGGACTTTTAGAAATGGTTTTTCCTAACTCTAACAGTATTCATTGAATAAGGAAATTTAAATACACATAAGTATTGGTATTATATAGTATTTGAGTGTTTAAATATCCAGAAAAATGCAAATATTCACATGTTAAGTATTTCAAAAGAAAAATTTAAATAAATATTTACCTTTTCTTGTATCTAATTATAGGTGGCATAATAAATTTGTAAATACTTTAAGAATATGAAATTCAATATAAAGTCACCAATGCTTTCTTTAAAAATAAAAATCTATACTTAAACCTAAGTGGTAGATTCCTCATTTTCTTTTCATAGTAATCAAAGAGAAAGAGAATGTACAATGTATTTTTTATTAAATTTGTTGGGGTGATAGTGGTTGTAACATTATATAGGTTTCAAGTATACATTTTTATGATACATGATCTGTATATTGCATTGTGTACCCACCACCCAAAGTCAAATCTTCCTTTGTCACCACATATTTGACACTTTTTGCCATTTGTTACAGTACTTCCCCACTCCTTTTCCTTCTGGTCACCACCGTACTGTTGCCTGTGTCTGAGTTTTTGTTTTTCTTATTTGTTCATTTACTGCTTTTAGTTTTATATCACACATATGAGTGAAATCATATGGTTCTTAACTTTTTCTGTCTGGTTCATTTTGCTCACCATAACAGTCTCAGGATCCATCCATGTTGTTGCAAATGGCAATAGATTCTCTTTACTAATGGCTGGGTAGTATTCCATTGTACGTGGGTACCATGTCTTCTTTGTCAGTCCTCTATATAAGGACATGGCAGTTGTTTTCATGTCTTGGCCACTGTGGATAACACCGCAATGAACATAGGGAGGCATACATCTTTGCAAATAAATGTTTTCAAATTTTTTCAGGGAGATATCCAAAAGACAGGTTGCTGGGTCATACGATAACCCTATTCTTAATTTTTTGAGGAGCTTCCATTCTGCTTTCCATAATGGCTGCACTAGTTCACATTCCCATAAGCAGTGAATGAGGATTCCTTTTTCTCCACAACCTCTCCAACACTTGTTACTTCTTGTCTTGTTGATAATAGCCATTCTAACAGGTGTGGAGTGGTATGCCATTGTGATTTTGATTTGCATCTCCCTAATAGCTAGTGAAATTGAATATCCTTTCATAAGAATATACAATGAATTTTAACCAATGCCATTGGAAGGATAAGACCAACACAATTTGAGAATTTAATCATTTATATAACAGTAATTCCTTCACTTATTTATGACTTACTGATATCTCACTGGACATATTTTTATTCAATGTCTAGTATGTATTGAGATTCTTAGTTATTGTTCAGTGTGCTAGGTTAAGGTAACTATTTATAGTCAGCATCAACATTATTTGTTTACTTATCTTTCTTCCCAAGAAACTTACTACCTCAGTTACTTCCCATCCCTCAAGCTACAAATTGAGAGAATAGTGTAAAATTACACATAGTGCTAAATTGAAAATAATACAGTGTCAACATTTATGGCACAACTAGTAAGTGATTTGTACGGTTAAGGCAGAGAAGTCAATATGGCCTAGAGTTACTTAGGGAGTTGATGGATTTAGAAAGGACAGAGAAGGGAGATTGTTTTAGTTAGGTGAATAGGCTTAGTAATATTACTTGTCTTCATTTATCAAGAAAATGGTTAAAACAAAATTTAAGGTTATTAATACTTACCTGGCAGAGGAGATACCATGATCAAGAAGGTGGTTTACCCAGGGCGAGACGCACCTTTTGCACTCCAGATGCGCTGACCCCTGCGGTTTTCCCAAATGCGGGAAACTCGACTGCATAGCTTGTGGCAGTGAGGGACTGTGTTCATGCTCTCCCCTGGCAAAAATAAATTTTAAAAATTAAAAAAAAATTAAGGTTATTTGTATGGGAGTAGCTGTATGAATATGAAACCTGACAAAAGAAAAATATAAAGTTATATGATTTTGCAGTGAGATACATTTTAATAAGCTACTCAATCCATATTCCATACCTCATTTTCACATGGAACTGAGGATCATTGAGTCAAGCTTTATTCAATTACAAGCATAAAGTGTGATGGCAATTGTCAAAGTTGGAAAGGTTTTGTCAGATTAAAATCAGAGAGGCATTTGCAGACTTAAAGCTGGAGACCAAATCCTCAATAGTGAATCAGATGAATCAAGACCTATGATTAGAAGTAAATACAAGATGCTGGGACCCTTGTAGTTCTAGTTATTAGATACAGGTGTCATTGTGTAGGTGTCTTGGCTAAAGTTAATTGTGTTGGAGTCTGGGGAAGGAAACTCGAAAATTCTCTTCCTTTCTGGAATCACAAAACTGGAAAGGATAACCATTTTTGCATGACTAAAAGCCAATGAAATTAAGTTTGTAATGCAATTTTAATGCACATTTGAGAATTATTGTTTTATGTATTAATTAAAAACAATAGTAGTTGTAGTATATAGTTTGATGATGAGTATATTTATATACATCACTTGGACTTCAACAAATCATGGACATGTCGCACGAGAATCTCTACCGATAATTATCATCTCTGATGTAAAAATGTGATTTTCAAATTAATTTGTAGCATGTTAAGCAATACACAGGGTCTCAGTGGAGGCCGTTAAATTAATATACACACAGACAGAAGTCAGAGTTATCTCTGTTAGACAAGCCATAGCATCTGTAAAAGGCATATTTCTGCTTAAGTGCATAAATAAGCCCTATTTCTGCCTATATGCACCATATCTTTTACAATTACCTAACAAAGACAATAAAAATAAATGAGTGTATCTATGTGTGTATTTAAAATAAGAGGCATAAGAAAAAAGATACCATAATGGATCATTCTGTGTAATTCAATTATTTTAATTTTAAAGCAAAAATACTGACCCACAGAACAAAATAACATTTTAGATCAATAGCTTGTGTATCAATAGCATATTTGTTCATGGAAATATATTTGGATAAAACCAACTAAAAGTTTGGACTTGATCTAATAGATAATAGAGAGTCAGTGAAGATTTTTAAGCAGAATGGTAAGGTGATGAAATAGTTTTAAGATAGTTATTATATTTAGGTGGCTGTTGAAGTTATGAAAATGCAGCAATTAAGTAGTGATGGTTTGCACTATGATGCAAATAGTGGGAACAGAATACAACAAAAAGATCAAAGAAATAACTTTGAGAGTGAACTTGACTGAGCTTGAGCCATATATGATATATTGTAATAAATTATATAAAAACTTAGGACCAACTTCTTGATTTTGTTTCTAGAACACTGAAGAGTTGTCATTGTCATTATGTAATACAAAAAAAAAAAAAGATGAAAATAATTGAGTAGGAGAGAAGGTAAAAAGTTAATGACAACCTAAACTGGGCAGAGGTGGGGGGCGGGTGCAGTGCTGTGAGATCTGTCATAGAGAGATTCTGTAACTAAAAAGAGTTTCACAAAGTAAGAATTATTGAAAGTCAAGATTAAAATTAGAATTTGAGAGGTTCAATATAGGATCTAAGAATAAAAGTGAAGATGCAGACTAGTTCTAAGAAGAAGCATTTGGGTAAAAAATTCTCAAGTCAAAGGCTCACCAGTAGAAGGCTCCTAGTTAATGGATAATTAACGACAATGGGAAAGGTTAGAGAAAAGAAGATAATACATTGAAAAATCCAAATGACTCCCCACACATGCAGTCAAAACTGTTAGAACTAATAAACAAATTTAGTAAATGTTCTAGACACAAAATCAACATATATGACATTGGCTTTTACAGTGATGTTTTTGATATGACACCAAAAGCACAAGAAACAAAACAGTAAATAGCTACTTGACTACATCACACTAAAAAGCTTTGACACAGCAAGGGAAACAATCAACAAAATAAAAAGACAACCAATGGGAGGGGATAAAATATTTACAAGCCAGCCCTGGCTGGTGTGGTTCAGTGGATTGAGTGCCAGCCTTCAAACAAAAGGTCATTGGTTCAATTCCCAGTTAGAGCACATGTCTGGATTACAGGTCAGGTCCCCAGTAGGGGACAAACAAGAGGCAACCACACATTGATGATTCTCTCCCACTCATTCCCCTTCCCTTCTCTTCTCTCTAAAAATAAATTTTAAAAAAATCTTTAAAAATAGATTTGCAAGATATATATTTGATAAAGAACTATTAAAAAAAATATATAAGGAACTTCTACTCTCAATAGCAAAAATATACAAATAAGCTTATCACAAAATGGGCAAAGAAACTGAATAAACACTTCTCCAAAGAAGACATAGAAATGGCAAATGGGTATTTGAAAAGTGCTCAACATTATTAATCATCAAAAGAATGCAAATTAAAAGCCACGATGAGATTGTTATTCCATAATTGTTAGGGTAAACATTACTTTTTTTAAAATGATAACAATAGTTAGCAAAGATATGGAGATAAAGAAACCCTTATATTGTGGTAGGTAAATTGGTACCGCTACTATGGAAAAACAGTATGAAGTTTCCCTAAATCATTAAAAGTAGAACTACCATATTTTCCCAGCAATCCCGCTTTTGGTTATATATCCAGAAGAATTGAATCAGTTCAAGAAAAAATATCTGCACCTCCACATTCACTGCAAAATGATTTAGAGTAGCCAAGACAGAAAGCAACCTAAATGGCATCAATGGCCAAACAATGAAAATATACTATATGCACATAATGGAATATGATTCATCTTTTAAAAAAAGAAATCCCACCATCTGTGACAGCATACATAAATGAATCTGGAGGATATTCTGCTAAGCAAAATAAACCAGAGATGAGGACAAATACTACATTATACAACTTATATGAAGAATCTAAAGTAGTCAAACTCATAGAAGAAGTGAACAGAATGGTGGTTGGCAGGGACTGGGATGAGGGGGAAATGGGAAGGTAATAGTCAAAGAATATAGAGTTTCAGTTATGCAAGATAAATAAGTCCTAGAAATCTACTGTATTTCACAGAACTACTATATAACATAATAATACTCTATGGTATACTTAAAAATTTCTAAGAGGGTAGCTCTTATGTTCACTCTTCTTATCACAAATAATTATAATAATAATAACAATAAATAGGATAGAAGAAAACTTGTGGAGGGATGGACATGTTTATAACACAATGTGGTGATGATTCCACAGGCACATACTTGTCTCCAAACTCATCTAATTGTATCTGTTAAGTTTGTGGAGTTTTTGGTATGCCAGCACATGAAAGTGACCTAAATGCCCATCGTATCCTGTAGTGTGTGTCTTTGTTTCCATGTCATACCGTGATGGCTGCTTTTTAAAAAAGGAATTAAATTACTATGCCATTTTGCGTGCTAATGTTTACATGTTTTTTCATAAAATTTTTTTCTCTTGTCCCACTGAAAATTCTTAGAAAAAAATGAACTGTGTCAAATTTAATTTCTGTTTTTCTATGTTTATGTCTAATGGGTGCTTGAGAGAAGTTTTAGGGAGGTAATTCACCATGGGCCTTGCTCATGACTGAACGATGTTGAAAACACTTTTTACTCTCTTGTCCTCACTAACTTCAGAGTTAGGTTACTGAAAGAGGCTGTCTTCAGAAATAGATCATCTCCCTTGACTGATGATAACTAGGTAATCATGAGGACAAAATGGGGTCATATAGGCTTATTTTTAAAATTGGAGAGTCCACTCCGATTCCTCTGGATGTTAGGTCTGGTGATAGTAGGAACAGATTATGATATTGGTGGGGGGAGGAGGGGGTGGAGTTAATTTGCAACTACTGAATTGGGATAAAGTACTTTGTGTTGATAAGAGAGAACAAAAACTCCAGTATCTGGGAACTGAACATCTTAGACCCTAGGAAATGTTGGGAATTGGAGGAGGGCAGTTAAGGCTCTCTTTGTCCTCTAGATCAAGAACTACAACCTGGATCGAGCAGCAGCTGAGGGCGGCAATCCGCCCTGTTGATGGGTTTGTCATCTCCATTCCCATGCCATAAAGACAGAAAAACTCACGTACACACAACCAGACCTGAATTATTTTGCTGTGGGGCTACTACCATCAATGGTAACTCCCAAGGTCAGTATGTTCAGATATACAGACTACCACAACTTTGCCATGATATAAATAATGCAAATTCACGTATTTCTGGTGTCTGAGAAGCTGTGGATTATGCCATATATGGTGATTGAAAGTGCTTGATGGCACTGCCCATGTGACTTAAACTAATGTAACTATGACAACAGTGTTAACTCTAATGATCTAGTCAACTTCAGGCTATATGCTTGTATATGTATAAAAGTCAACCATAAAATGTCTTTTCATTAAGGATAAAGGTTGCTATTTGGCCCATCTATTACCCAAGTTTTTTGGACCACTGTAACAAGAGAATCAGACCAGGTAGGGTAGCTCAAACAACAAATATTTATTTTTCACAGTTCTGGAAAATGGGAATTCCAAGATCAAAGTGCTGGCAAATTAGGTGTCTGGTGAGGGTCATGGTTCACAAATGCCTCCTTCTCTCTGTGTCCTCACATGGAAAAAGGGGCATGAGAATTCTCTGGTGTCTTTATTAAGGACATTAATCCCATCATGCGAGCGCCACCTTGTGCCCTAAAATCATCTCTGAAAGGCCCCATCTCCAAATACCATTACGATGAGGATAGGTTACAATATATAAACTTTAGGAAAACATAAACATTGTCTGTAACAACACCAAAGATTAACAGGTCAATCTAAATTGCCTTGCCTAGGTCCTAGAGGATGTAGTTTGGCCTCAATTTAAATCCGCATTGTCTAAAATAAGACCTATTATTGTACTGCAGAGGGAAGACCGTGACCCTGGCAGCAAATGCCATTTTGACCCCGGCTGA